AGGTATCACAAATTCTCAAATGGATTCCAAAACGTCCATGATTTCGATTCATATTTTGCGTTTTTCATTTTTGATCGATTTGCCTCATTGGATCTAATCCGTTTCAACCCCATTGGTTGATCCAATTATTTTTGTTTAGATCAAAATTCTAAAAAAACAAAATCATATTTCCATTTTTTTTTCTTTTCGAAATTCACTGTTCATCCACATTAGAATTGAGTCCAAAAGAAATTCGTTTATAGTTCATATCATTCTTGAGCCCACATCAAAATTTTGAATGTCACTGTTCATTGATCGACTTTCGTGAGCCCAATCAATTCTTTTATGATCCGATAGTATCGTTTTTAAGCCCAAATGTGACTGGATCAAAATCGAAATTGGATATGAAGTATTTCCTTTGTTTAGTCTCATACGCTTCAAGTACTTGTACATTCTTATGTTCTTGACTGTGTTCCTTACGAACCGATGATGATAGATAGTTGCCATTCACATCGGATGTTCTTGGGATCAATTTCGATTTTGACTGTTGGGTTATTGAAATCGAAATCAAAGTTGAATGTTGTATTTTGGTTTTGATTTGAGTCGATTGAAGCCTAAATCTTTGATTTACATTTGATGTGTGAAAGTCAAATGAGTTTCTGAAAGTCAAAATTGAAATCATTTTTTTTATCAAAATTGATTTTAATGTTCAATGGAAGGCTTGAGTTGAGGTTTGGAGTCGATGGCATAAGAACGACTTTGAAATTGTGTTGATGTTGATTTTGGAGTCAATGTTCGAAAGTTTGAGTATCGATTTATGTTTAGGTTTGTCGACAACGAAGACGGTGTTGATGTTTGATTGGGAAGATATTATAACGAAGGCTATGATGATGTTCTTATTTGTATCCTGGAAATCGACTTGGGTAATTTTGATTTCGAAGGGAGTTTAGATATCGATTGATGATCTTGTGTCGCACGAATCAATGGTCTATTTGATTGATATTGGAAACGTCATGATATGGGGACGAAGATTTCGAAGCGACCGGTGTCAAGGATCGAATGTGAGAATGATCGTTGGCTGGTAATTTGTAAAAACGAAATGTTGATGAACTGGAAATGAACATGTTTTGGGTTAGTACCAACAAGCGAAGCTTGTGTTAAAATCATTCGATGATTTGGGGATGAATAAACATCGGCCTGGCTAACAAACTGGGAAGGTTTTGAGAAGTCGATTGAGCTGTGAAATCGAATGGGTTTGATAATGTTAGTATTTGAAATCGATGACCTGTAGAACGAAACGTGATTGGATTTTTGTCATTTGATAGCGAAAACTTGTAGAACGAAGGCTTGATGTCAAATCTGTTGTGGTTTGCTAGTGATTGGAAGATTCGATTGTTTGACAACGAATGCTTAGTTGATTCGATTTTGATTTTTGAGGCCTTGTCATGAAAACGAAGGTTTTGGTGTTAAAAACGAAGGCTTGCCGATTGATGTCGATAATCGAAGATTTTATAGTGAAGGATTCGTTAGCAATGGGTTGAAGTGATTGCTGACAAAATCTGCTAAATTTGGAGTTGGGAAGGACGAATTGATGATCTTAAAGGATTCGTTAGTTCATTGTTTTCTTATTCCGCACATGCCATCATAATCAACATCACTACAATAACATAATGCTTTGATTTAAATAACAATAGAATATAAAGTAACTCAAGAACACAATATTTTCTTCCAACAAATAAATACAAAGATACAACCAACTTGTAAATGTGGGATATGTACAAAGCTTAAGGAAGAAATAACATTGTTGATAGGGGACCCTACCATCCGGCTAGCCGAAGCCATATGGAAACGTTACAACAGTCGAGGTCGAATGCATTGTTCGGATAGAAGCTCGAATTACAGTAAACACTACCAATGAGATAAACATGCTTAGTCAAAAACCACTAAATTAGGAGTTTGGACGACACCCTAAAAGATTATAATACAACAATTACCTACTAGGCATGTCACTTATAAACAATAATATGCCACATACTGGCACCATCATTACCATACACATACACCACCTATATAAACCATGCAATAACATAGATAAAAGGCAATATGAGAAAAGGTCATAAATTATATACAAATATGCTATATAAACTTCTCTTACAATATTATCATGATTCATTGTCTATTTTAGGCTTCAAAGAGTATTACTGCATCCTCATCCGGTGATGATCTAGAGCTCCTTTGTTTCCTATCATGTTCTACGTCCACTATGAGATTGGTGAAACACTATTCTTCTACGTGAATACTGACGTAGCAACATTGGAACCATTCAGAACACAATGTAAAAAGAACGACAAAGCATAATGGAAAATAACACAACCTCAACGCCACTCCTACATACTTCATACAATCCAATTCACATGATGCCTATGTTTATTCAAACTCCGAAAGCAGCCGTATCAGACACAACGATGACAATGTCCTTTATAAAAGAAATTGAAGGAAACATAGTAGAAAATACATATATAATAATAAGAAACCGAGTGAGGACGGAGAAAAACACATACAACAATCATACTGAACCAAACAAAAATAAAAGACAAAGAAATCTTTTTTTATTGTCAAAACAACCTAAAGTGTAAGAAGTAGATCTAGAAACATAGATAGGAAAAATCAACAAAATTTGAGTAGATGTAACAACGAGGGGTGAAGGGAACAAGAAACCAGACTATGATGTTGTTCCAAAAATGATGCAACCACTATTTGGACTACATCCAATAGGCTAGATCGAAACCTTATGTCCCAAATGGTACCAAGGATCTTCTTTAGGTTTAAGGTACCATCATGTATCTATTGCTTGATAAAGTGGTACATCATCTAGATGTATTTCGTCCTACTATGAAAAACCATATTATTTTCCAAATATATTGTACTATGGTTGTCACAATGCAATACACATTCTTCCTGTTGCATCTGAATTGCTAATCGAAAGTTCTTCAACTATATAAGTTTCTTGCTTGCTTCTTCAATAGCAATGCACTTTGTTTTTATTATTGAAAGAGCAACACTCTTTTGTAACTTGGACATCCAAATGATTGTTGTACCCCCGATTACTAACACATACTCGGTTGTGTTATTTCCTAAATCCATGAAACCTCTCAAATCAATATAGAAAAAAACCTTCCAAAACTATCACTTTTCTTATGAAGCATAAGGCAACCTCGGTACTACCATTCAAGTAGCATAGCGACCATTTCTTTCCCAATACTCTCTTCCTGGATTAGACATCAATCGAATCACAACTCCTACTCCATGAGCAATGGTTGGTCTAGTGCACACAATAACATACACCAAACTACCAACTGCTAAGGCGTAAGGAATTTTAGACACTTCTTTTTAGTTTTCTTCAATCTTGGAGATTGTTTATCTTATAGTCTCAGATGCCTAACCAAAGGTGTACTTGGGGCATTTGCATCTGCCATGCTGAAGATTTATAGAACTTCATGTATGTACTTTTCTTGAGAAAGCTTCAAGCATAAGCAAATCTATATTTGGCTATGCTTATGCCTAAAATCCATTACTTAGCAGCCCCTAGGTCCTACATCTCAAACTCTCTAGACAATTGTCTCTTCATCCTATTGATTTCCCACATGTCTGATCCAACAATCAATATGTCGTCAACACAAAGTAAAAGGATGATATATGAGGATCCAAACTTCTTTAGGTAACACTAGTGATCCATCTCCAATTTCTTATACCCGTTCTTTTAAATGAAGAAATCAAACTTCAAGTACCATTGTCTTGGAGTTTGCTTTAAACCATACATACTTTTCTTCAACTTGAACACCAAGTTTTCCATGCTAACTGTAAGAAAACCCATTGGTTGTGTCATATTGATTTCTTCATCCATGTCACCATTTCAACAAGTTATTTTCACATCTAACAACTCTTGATGGAGATCTTCTGCAACTACTATACCCAAAATTAATATTATAGTAGTCATCTTCACAACTGGAGATAATATATAATTGTAGTTGACCCCACTTTCTACTAGAACCCTTAAACCACTAATCAAGTTATGTACATCATGTTGTTATCTATATCATTTTGACCCAAACACTCACTTGTTATGTAGTGCTCTCTTTCCTGTTGGTAGCTTGACCAAGGACAAAGTATTGGTTGTTGTCAAGTGAGTTCAACTCTTCTTCCACGACCTTTTTCCACTGTATGGAGTCTTTCATCATCAAGGCTTCTGTCACGTTCACTATTATCCGTTAGTAACAGGTAGTTGCTAATGAGCATAACATAGCTAGAGTTCTTATCTCTCTAGTAGATCGTCAAACAGGATGAGGTAGTTTTTGTTTTAAAACTCAATCCCGAGCACCCCATAATATACATTTAAATTATGTTTAAATTGAATTGGTCTCACCACAACCAATCCCCTTCAACTTTTCCCAATTTCATTTAGTTACATTTTAATTAGAAAAGTCAACATTCTCAGTGTCACACGACTTTTTCGAGAACTAATCGGAAATAACTTGAAGGACAAAATCTGGTTTTTGGGGTTTACTAAAACAATATAGAATTCAAGTGAAGGGAGAAAAGAACATCAGAAAACAAAAATATACAACTCATGTGGAAGATGTGATCAAAAGCGGTAGAGGAGGATCAGAGTGCATGTATTTTTTTTTAATGCGAAGAATAATAATTTGAGACTACTATATTTCTGGACTACATGTTGTACAGCTTTCAAATGATATTTTGTAGTCTGATGTATGAGTGATTTTGCTGAAAAAAAATCGTTTGCCAGGCCATGGCCAATCATAAGAACAAAAATTTTGTTTTTAGTTAAAAAAAAAAAAAAGAATCAACTCGCGAAAAAAAGAAAGAAAAGAAGTTGAACAAATAAAATGTGCTTCTTTAAATACTCCATGCATCAAGATCTCTTCTTTCATAAACAAACCATGAACACAATTACGATATGGGTATTATTATATTTCTTAGGTTTATTGCTTCTCGTACGGTCCATGAGTCTTGGCTTCAGTATCGATCTCATCCACCGTGACTCCCCATTGTCTCCCTTTTACGATCCTTCTCTCACAGTCTCCCGGAGAGTGGTTGCCGCCTTCAACCGCTCCATCCACCGTGCTCAGTTTTTCAACTCCATGCTTTCCGGCGTCACTAATATCTTTCCCAACCCTCAGTTAGCTGATTATCTCATGAAGATATCAATCGGCACTCCACCTCAAGAAATCATCGGAGCTGCTGATACAGGGAGTGACATAATATGGACACAATGTGAACCTTGTTCTTATTGTTTCAACCAAAAGCTTCCTATCTACAGACCCGACAATTCCTCCACTTATAACTCGATAACGTGTGACTCCAAGTCTTGCATGTTGGTTCCAATGAGATCTTGCACCACATCCGACAACACTTGTTTGTATCTAGTCGTGTATGGAGATCTTTCGTATAGCTCCGGAGAGCTAGCGACGGAGACTGTTACACTCCAATCAGATACAGATGGCGACTCGTTGGCGTATCCACGTGTCATGTTCGGGTGTGGGCACAGAAATGCGGGCATGTTTACTGACGACCAAAGTGGAATAATCGGGCTCGGAGGGGGGCCTTTTTCTCTCATTACACAAATGGGGTCTTCCATTAAAGGGAAGTTTTCATATTGTCTTGTTCAGATGTTTCCTCATGTGGAAAGATCAAGTAAAATGTACTTTGGTGATGCTGCCATGGTTTCCGGAGATGGGGTGGTTTCCACCCCTATACTTTCCGGCTACGGCCCTGGCACCTTTTACTACCTTAACTTTGAAGGGATTACAGTCGGAGGACAACGTGTTGATTTTTACACCACGAAACCTACTTCTGTGGAGGGTAATATCATTATTGATTCCGGAACATCTTTGACTTTTTTTCCTGAAGAGTTCTACAATCGGCTACAGTTGGCCGTGAGACATACGATGAAAGATATTGTGCCGGTTAGTCCTGACCGGGAAAATAATCTGAGGTTGTGTTACAACCGGTTAGAAGTGATGGCTGATCTTCCGGTGATGGTGGCTCATTTTAATGGGGCGGATTTGGAGTTGGATCCGATGAACAGTTTTGTTCAAATAGGCAATGATTCGATTTGCTTGGCGTTTGCTCCGGTAGATGGTGTTGTCATTTTCGGAAATCTTGCACAGATGAATTTCTTGGTAGGTTATGATCTTAATAAGAAGACGGTTTCGTTTAGAAGAACGGATTGTATGAAGTTATGATCTTCGTCTACAGGAATCTAGCATAAATGAACTTTCAGTGTAAGAAGACGATTTGGATGATGGGTATGTAGTTATGATTTTTAAGACTTTACCTGTAATAGAATAACAAAAGAAAAAGGAGGTTGTTTGGAAATCTGATAGTAATAAACAGAGAAAACAAAGGTTTATTGCTGACGGGAAAGCAACCTTTCGAAACAACATGATCTCCACTTTTACCGCTAAGAAAACGGTGATATATATATATATATATATATATATATATATATATATATATATATATATATATATATAAAAGATTTGTGCTCGCGCAAAACGGCAACGATAAATAACATTTTTGACTAGTAGTTTCTTACATGTAAATAACTATTATCTTTTATTATTAGTTATCATCTAATAAAAAATTATCATTTTTAAATAAAATATTTATGTTTATACCTTATGTTTATATTGCATGTTTAAACTATTGATGTAATTAATTATTATTGGTGTTTAGCTTAAGAAAATTTAAATTAATTTATATAGATATAATTTAATGTTTTAAAATTTTCATTTTACTCAAAATTGAATTTCTTAATTACTTTCTTTAATTCAACTCTTCAAACTTTTGGAAAGTATTAATGAATTGTTTATGCATAATTGATATGTACAAAAAGCTTTGTAACTTATACCTTTTAAAATTCAACATATGACTAATATGCTTTATAATATATATATATATATATATATATATATATATATATATATATATATATATATATATATATATATATATATATATAGGGGTGAGATCCGTTGAGAATTCATAGTTTCCCGAGAACCTGAGAACTAAAGGTGGAGCATTAGATCAAAATTAACGCATTGAGGGAATGATCGTCACCTTACCGATCTCATTTAATGTTTGTTTTTTTATGTTATTGGAAATATTAATAAAAAGTTCTAAAAATTAATATAATAAATCAAATTTCGAATTTTTTTTAATACAAAAAGTAATTTTTGATTTTTTTTTAAAAAACGGAGATTTTTTTAATTTTTTTCAAAAAACATGATTTTTTAAAAAATTGAAAAAAATATTTTTTCTTTAAAACTGCAATTTTTTTTAATAAAAACTGCATTTTTTTTGAAAAAAATGCAATTATTTTAAAAAAACTGATTTTTTTAAAAGAAACTACAATTTTTTCAAAAATAACTGCAATTTTTTATTAAAAACTGTATTTTTTTTTAAAAAAATGTATTTTTTTTAAAGAAGTGAAATTTTAAAAATCAGTAAATTTAAAAAAAAAACTAAAATATTAAAAAAAAACTCTAATTATGTTAACAAAAAAAATCAACGTTTTAGGTGCATATTTTTTTAAATGCATATATGCATATTTCTTATACTATAATATTCGTAAATAAATAATAAAAAATCTCATTTTTATTAATCAATCTATAAACATAATAGTACACGTATTTTATTCGATACAAAATAAAATATAAAAAATAAAAAATGCTACAAAGATTCATAGTGTTATCATTTCTTCATATCTAGATTTCCATATTTTCATTATTTATCATTTTTTCATCTCTTCAATATTTTCCACAAATTCTTCAAAATCTACAAAAAAAAATTGATTAATGCAAGAACACTCACAAAAATGCACATGTATATATCATGTAAGATTCACATGTGATTATATCATGTAAGATTCACATGTGATATTCAAATGTGATTGTATCCTTTAAGATGCAAAGGTGAAATTCACAAGAAAATTTTAAAAAATAATTAACGAAGAACACCCACACAAATTGCATGTGTGCATATGGATATAATTCATATGTGATTCACTTGTGATTTACATGTGAATTACATGTGATTAATATGTGAATTACATGTGAATCACATATAATTCACATGTGATTCACTTGTGAATCACATGTAATTCATATGTGATTCACTAGTAAATCACATGTAATTGATATGTGATTCACTTATGAAGCACATGTGAATGTGATTCACTTGTGATTTACATGTGAATCACATGTAATTGATATGTGATTACATTTGATTAATATGTGAATTACATTTGATTAATATGTGAATTACATTTGATTTTCATATGAATCACATGTGATTCATATGTGAATCACATATGATTTACATGTGAACCACATGTGATTTACATGTGAATCAAATATGATTAATATGTGAATCACATGTGATTCATATGCGAATCACATATGATTTACATGAGAATCACATGTGATTTATATGTGAATCAAATATGATTAATATGTGAATCACATGTGATTCATATGTAAATCACATGTGATTCATATGTGAATCACAAATGCTATAATCTTGTTTTCATCAATTTTACATCTTCCATCATCACTCCACAAACAATAAACATATCAATAAAGAAGTTGAATGAATACAACTATAAAAAGATTGTTATGAAGCCATCAATGAAGTCTTACATTAGCCTTGTGTTTTAGAAGAAGTTTTAAAGCATCTTGTTGTCCATGATCAACAACCCAAACAAGAGGTGTGCCAACATCACTTTGGGAATCAATTTCAACACCAATGGATAACAAAGCTTCCATCAACTCATTATTTACTACAAACATCAACTTACATATGTTCAATTCAAAACTTCCTCAATAAAGTAAATAAGATAGTAAGAACTAAAAACAACTCACCTATTCCAGCAACAAGATGTAGAGCTATAGCTCCTAATTCACTTGATAGTTTAGGATTACCACCATGTTCAATCAGGTATTTGGCAGTGGAGGTATGCCCTTGTCTTGCAGCATGAATAAGAGGGTTCTCACTTGAAACAATGCAACAAGGCAGCAAGTAGGGAAATCAACACCAATAACCAAGTCAAATATGTTGTGTTATAAACTGTGCTTAAGTAACAGTCTAACAGAAGAAATTACCATTCCTGTAAAAAAAATAATACATGGACATTTCTAGAAGTATTTATACACAGATCATTTCTGTAATATACCAATTTTTGCATCCTACATTCTGCAATTTACAATATAAAAACTAATTATAAAATCCTACTTTGTTTCATTGGAAAGTAGGAACAACTGCCAATTATATAAAGAAAAAAACTTCAAAACTTTTTTTCCTTCCAAAAAGTAAATATTGACTAATACATATTTTCCAACTGATGGTAATTTCTTATAATTCAATTGTAAAAGTATGTTCAAAATTCGGATTTCAACAAAAGTATGATCAAACATGTTCAAAAAATAACTGTGGAGTTCCATATATCTTAACAACAGATTCATAATCATTTTCTGTGAAATTAAGCTTCTAATAGTGTTTAACTTAACCTTCAATGACCAGTTCCATTATTTATAAAGATAAAGTATAACTACACAATCACATGGTTATTATAAACTCAATAGAAGATTGCAAGTCATATTAATTACCAGTGTCATGCTCTTCTATGCCATTGCCATGATTATAATCATACTCATCACAATAATCATCATAAGCATCATACTCTTCATCAAAATCAACTCCATATGATACTTTACGAGGCATTTCCTGGTTAAATAAAAAACCAAATATGATACAGAATAAACTTTCACTATGGAAATTAGACTTGAGAAGATACAAATATAGGTCCTTTATATGAAGATTAAATTATGAAACTGAAATCAACAAGAAATATTTTCAAAAGAAATACCTTGAATTTATTGTGGACTGAATCAAAATAACACTGTCGTCCAAACCCTTCCCAGATGATAATGAGAGAAAGATATTGCAGACTTGCCAAAAGGGTTTGATGACATAACATCCAATGAAATGCTTTAGCTTTCTACTTCAGGTCCATTTTCCAATCCAGTATAATATTAAATTGTTGATTAAAAACCGTTATCAAAATGTGCCATACAGGGTTCATCTCAAATACTAAATAATTGAACAAACAGAAAACTCAATCAGCTAGAAATCACTGAGCCATGTATTCAAAGTATCTTACTTTACTTTTTTTTACATCATAATAGTGATAACTACAAATAAACAAAGTTCTTAACTACTCACATGTATCCTTATATCAGGCAGAATTTGACTTACTAACAAAAATAAAACGTGCATTGAAAGGATAAAGTTTACACATCCTAATAAAAGTGCCACATAATCACTCTTGATAAATGCAAATTAAGTAATGATTTTATTGGTACCAATTTATCACCAGTAAGTCACACTCTTTATAAACTTATGTCCCTTGAATTACTCTATGAAGTTGAAAGTTTTTAATTCAATTATAACCAATAAAGTAGCCCCTCGAGTTGATGGTAGAAGTTAAAGAACCTGAATGCTCCAGTGGTTGGATTGGTTTTGCAAAGGAGTCATATCATGACAGGAGACGACAACCATTATGTAGCTGTCATAATGGAACTGGAAGCGAAAGGTGCAAAGGTGATTCCTCTTTTCGCAGGTGGACTTGACTTCTCGGGTCCCATCGAGAAGTATTTGATTGAACTGATCACAAAGAAGCCGTTGGTGAACTCGGTGGTGTCGCTGACTGGGTTTGCATTGGTGGGAAGGCCCCAAAAACAAGATCATCTAAGGGCAATCGAGGTGTTGATGAAGCTGGATGTGCCATACATTGTGGCGTTGCCTCTTGTGTTCCAGACAACAGAGGAATGGCTTAACAACACTTTGGGGCTTCACCTGATTCAGGTGGCTTTGCAGGTTGCTCTTCCAGAACTTGATGGAGGAATGGAGCCGATTGTTTTCTCAGGACGAGACCCAAGAACCGGTAAATCTCATGCCCTTCACAAGAGGGTGGAGCAGCTCTGCACCAGAGCAGTCAGATGGGAAGAATTGAAGAGGAAAACAAAGGTACATATATATACATTTCTCTTTCACATCACATATTCCATATGGTGCTTTTTTTTAATAATAAACAGAGAACTGAAGATAAAATATTAATGAATTTTCAATATATTTTGATGTAAAACTTGCATGCAGACTGAGAAGAGGGTGGCAATTACGGTGTTCAGTTTCCCACCGGATAAAGGGAATGTGGGATCTGCTGCGTACCTAAATGTGTTTGTATCAATTTTTTCGGTGCTACAAGACTTGAAAAAAGATGGTTACAATGTGGAAGGCCTTCCAGAGACTTCTGCAGCCTTGATAGAAGAGATTCTTCATGGCAAAGAGGCTTAGTTCAGCAGTCCAAATCTGAATGTTGCATACAAAATTGGAGTGAGAGAATATCAGCAGCTGACTCCATATTCCACTGCCTTGGAAGAGAACTGGGGAAAGCCTCCAGGGAACTTGAATTTTGATGGGGAGAATCTCTTGGTTTTTGGGAAACAATACGGAAACATATTCATTGGAGTCCAGCCCACTTTTGGGTACGAGGGTGATCCCATGAGACTGCTTTTCTCAAAATCAATAAGCCCACATCACAGATTTGCAACTTATTACACTTATGTTGAGAAGATCTTCTGCAAGAAAATAGAACAAAGATTTTAAGCAAATAGATTTAAAAAAAGATTCAAATCATATCCCAATATCAGATTTCAGCATCAGATTTTAACAAATATATTTCTACAAGTATGTTTATTTCAACAGTTTCATTAACAAACATTTTAGCACAAAAATCAAACGCAACAAATAGAATTCAACAAGTATGTTTATCTCAAGATGAAAATTCCAACAGAGCACCATAAGATTGACCAGCATAAAAACGATTCCAACAGAAAAGAATCCATTTCAGCATTATGAATACCAAAAAAAACAGATGGACATTAGGGAAATAAGCCTACCAGAGCAGCGGAGGTAGGGCACTAGCGAAGTAGAAGGAGGCCGAGGCGCCGACAATATGGTGATTTGGAGGAAGGTTGAGGAGGGAAGGTCGTCGTTTCTATGATGGAGGCAAGAATGAAGAGGGAAACAGGCTTATGGAAAATAAGGAAACATACGTTCTTTTTTTCATGAATTCAATATCGAGTTTTCATTATGTGTTTATCAAAAGAGTTATCACTTCACGTTTAAATTAGGGTTTCAGCATATTTACAAGTCTTTATAAATTCAATATCGAGCTCCATCACATAAGAACGGTGAGATTTTATGAAGGTGCTAATTTAAATAAGCAGTTTAATCTTCGTACTGATTGAATCCATATAAAAAGCGCATCCAAAACAACTATGAGCACATAACTCGACAAATTATACATCAAATCAAATCGATTAGCACAAAGAGAGAGCTTACCGGTGGAGAGTGTTTGCAGAAGGATTCTAAAAGCAATATATAAAATCAATTAAGATTATGATGAAACAATCAGGAAATAGAAGCTCGAGTTTCAGATGGTCGGCGAGTGGTAGTTCCTCTTCCAGATGATCGACAATCGTTTTGAAATGTTTTGAAATGTTCGTTAAAAGGATCAGAGCCTCGCTGGTGTCGGCGTGGAACTTGAGATGAAATCGAGATCTCATTCCGAGATGCTTTCGGAATTCCGATGGAGTTGTAACATCCCAAGACCAGGTATATCTTATAAGCCCTTGTTCTTTTGGTAAATTGTCAAGTTTAGCCCTTATTGAGAAAAGATGGTAAATGAGTACGCGGGTGTACGCGAGTCTACGCTCAGCGTACTCATATGCGTGTTTTAAACGCGGAAGCCACCTAGTATGTTGGGCGTACCAGAGGGTACGCTGGGCGTACTAGGCCCAGTGTGAAAACCCTAATTTGGGGTGTGTCCCTATATAAAGGATATGAAGGCCTCATTCCTGGCCACCATCTTTAGACAAACAACCCTCTAAAACCCTAATTCTCGTTCTTGAGCTTGTGTGTGTCCATGTGAGATCCTTTAAGTGATTTTGTGTGTTCGTGGAGTGAAGAAGGAGCTTTGGGAGAAGAAGGAATGAGAGACCAGGCCTTGGATCTGAGCATATCTGAGTTGGGAGCTTCATCTAAAGGTATAAAGCTCCAATCTTTCTCACCCTTTTGATTTGTGCATCATAGTAGAGTATTTTAGGGTTTTGTCCCAAAAGTTGGAGACTTTATGAGATAAATGAGCTCCAGAGAATATGATCAACCCCTTTGAGTGTATTTAGTGGTGTAGTGTCATAAAAATCAAGACTTGGACGTTGGAATCAAGCCATGCATGAGATATGAGAATTTTGAGATAAGAGAGTGAGAGTTTTGTGTGTTTGTGACCTTATCAGCCATGCAAAGGCTTAAAGCCACTGACTTTATGGAGTAAGAGCAATTAGGGAGTCCAGATCTCTGATATGAGCCAAGGTTTTAACTGATTAAGACCAAATGAGTAGGAAGAGTGAAACTGGGACGTACACTAAGCGTAATCCGAGTACGCGCCGCGTAGGGGTCGAGCATCCCCGATGCCTGCATGGCAGTAGAGTACTCCCATCGTAGAGAGCCGGTGCGCGCAGCGTACACTCTGCCGTTGACTTTTAGGGTTTGGTCAATTTGTGGACTATTAAGGCCAAGGAGGGGTAAAATGGTCTTTTACCCTTCTGAGAGCTTGTAGAAGGGTTGGCTAGCTTTTTGAGAGCTGCTATAAATTACGGATAATTATCGTATGTGTTAGGCGGAGGCTAGACCGGTGATTCGAGTTCGAGGTTATCCGATTTCTTACGTGGTAAGTCTTCTCACTATACTTACCATGAGTGGTATCTATATGTGACCGAAGGGTGTTATGTGCTTATTGAGTTATGTGACACTATGCATTTTGTCTGTGTGATATATATGCTATATTCTTTGTTTTACTGAGATAGGACCGGAGGGTCCAACCCGATTTGTGGCACCGGAAGGTTTCCACCGAGACAGGACCTGAGGGTTCAAACCGAGCTGTGAGACCGGAGGGTCCTCACTGAGACACATGACTGGAGGGTCCACACCGAGACGCATGAGACTGGAGGGTCAATGCCGAGTTATAGCCATGAGAGGCTTATTATTTGTGTATGTGGTCTTTTGGGGAACTCACTAAGCTTCGTGCTTACCGTGTTAGGTGTGATGTGTTTCAAGTACCTCTCAGGACCGCGGGAAGGCGCCGGCATGATTGTACACACTTGTTCGAGACTATATTGAGGATTCTGGGATTTTACTTTATTTGTGGTTTTGATGTTGACATTTTCAGATACATGTGGTTTTATGAAATACAATATATGAGTTTATTGTGCTTTTAAAATGAAAAAACTTTGGTTTGAAATTTTACGGTGTTACAAGTTGGTATCAGAGCCTTGGTTTGAGGGATTCAGATGCACCTTCGGGTATGTCTGGACTCAAACTGAGGATTTGAGAAAAAATTTCAAAAGAAATGATTTTTCTAAACTGAGTAAGAGATTTCAAGAGAAAACGAGAAGGGGCAGTGAGTACAATTAGCCAGAGCCCGAACGGTGGTTTCCCAAAATACCCTTAACTATTTACTTTCACAGATATTTATGAGATACTTATGTGATATAGAGATGCATGCTAGAGAGTAGGCTAGGTATTTCATATTCTAGGGCTAGAGTTGCCTGATTTATGATGCCTTAGCCTAGGAGATGCTTTTGATCAGTGTTATCTGTTATTTGCTCTAAGTATGTGCTGAGTTATAAGTCGAGAGATAATCTAGGAAGAGATACCTAGATGAGCATATGAGTAGCTTACTGAGAGGGTAGTCTGATACTTGTGAGAGATAGAGTACTTGTGAATTAGAATTCTAGGAGGAGGACTTGGGATGACTACAGGTTGGTGTGGAAGGTAGTATTGGGCTCGTACTACTGAAAGCACCGGATCTTTATTCCACCCAAGTAAAAATCCTTAGGATGGTAAGGAACAAGTAGG